GACGAAAGCATACAGAGCTTCATTTTTGGCCATGACGCGCTGGGAGAACCTCAGCGAAGAAGACGAGGCAGGTGGTACAAACTTATCTATCATGTCATGTTTCGCTCCTACCATACCGTTACAATTTGGCATGTAACCTTGTACGAGGCCAACTGGTGCTGGACCGCCAAAGACTATTTGCGCCAGCACTGTGCCCTTACAGTGAAAACACCATCCTGTAGCTTAATTGCAGCTGCTTCTGCTTACTTAGCTTTGCGCTGCTAAATCTGAGCCTACCAGGTTGGATTCCTCCGCTTCGCGGTCGTTTGGCCCCCAGCTGCAGCAGTACTGTTTGGTTCTGCAGCACGTAGTTTCGCTCTTGTCCGTGCTTACTGCTGTGCTGGCTGTTGCTGTTCCCGCTGTTCTTGCGACCGCTGTTCCTGTCGCTGTCGCGGTTGTTTCATGTTGTTTCTGTTGTTGTTGTTGTTGCTGCTGTTGCTTCTGTTGCTGTTGCTGTTGCTGGATGCGGTTGCTGCTGTTGCTGCTGCTGGTGGTGCTGCCGCTGCTGCTGCGGCGGTTCTTCTTTGCCGCCTGTCCTTCTTTGTCGCCTGTCCTGCGTTGCTCATTCTGCCTTGTCAGGATGAGCCGGTGCGCGACGAGGCTCGTGCGCCAAAAGCTTGCTCTAGACTCCTCCACTCCATTCAATTGCATGTTTGTCTTCAGAGTCTGCAATCGATGTTTTGCTACTCACACTGGCAGGAGAGGCGTATGGAAGTGGCCTGGCCGTCTTCCAAGGTACCCGCGCAACAGCCCCTTCATGACCGTGTGGCGAATGTATCAAATGATCGCATGCCATGCAGCCAGTCCTTTACTGCTGTGCTGGCGCCAAGAAGTAAGTGGAAGCTTGGTCTGCAGGGCTCCAACTTTTTTTTGCATGCTTTGCTGCACATGTTTACGTTCATTTCCCAAAGCCACTTGCCGTCACGCGTCACTTACACGTCACTGTGGTTAACAAGTTGCATTGTCGCCTTCTGCAGCCTCTCTCTACGGCTTGTCGGTTTCATGTTGTGAGCTTGCGCGCGCATCTGAGGCCAACGTCGACGCAGGTCGTGTGAATGCTAGTTTGATGTCCGTGTGCAGCGGGACTTAGCTGTTGTGACGCTGGGGTTCAAAAAGATTTGCCCACTTCCTGCTTTGGCAACCATGCTGAAGCGTTGCTTTTCTTCCATTGGCTTGGACACCAATTTCATTCAGCCACACTGGCGCAACGTTGCCGCCAAGTTCTTGTCGCTGTCGCGGTTGTGTCTGTTGTCGTTGTCGTAGTAGTTGTTGTTGTTGTTGTTGTTGGTGGTGGTGTTGTTGTTGTCGTCGATTTTCGCATGTTGTTTGTTGATCGTTGTTGGTCGTCGTTGTTGGTCGTCGTCGTCGTCGTTGTGGTTGTTGTGGCTGTTGTTGTTGTTGTTGTCGTTGTTGTTGTTGTGGTCGTTGTTGCTGTTGTTCGTGGTGTTCGTGGTGGTGGTGGTGGTGGTAGCTTTTGGTGGTTCGTGTTTGTTCGTGTTTTTACAAAAATTCTTTCGCGTTGTCCCGCGACAACACAAGACTCCCACCATTTCACACGGGATCACAGCACACCCGACACGGGAACCGAAAACACCGGACGCGAAAACCCGAAACACCGGAGACCTAAACGCACCGAACGCGGGAACCGAAAACACCGGACGCGGGAACCGAAAACATCCGCCCTTTTTTTCCCTCTTCAACGCAAGGCGGGAACCGAAAACACCATCACAGGAACTGAAAACACCCGTGGGCACTGAAAAAACCGAGCCGGGCACCGAAAACACCGCCGCGCGGGAACCAAAAACCCACTTGGGAACCAAAAACACCGTTGGAACCGAAAACACCAACGCGGGAAGAAAAAACACCGCGGGAACCGAAAACACCAATCCGGGAACCAAAAGCCCGGAGCCCCTCCCTCGCCCAGCCCGAGTGCCGCGTCGGGGTTTTGCGCGTTCACCGCCGGAAGCTTCGCAGGCTCCCAGCGCTCGAGGTCCAAGCGCCTTGCCAGCGGTGCAGCGGCGGCCACGGCGCTGCTGTCGGCCGCGCAGCCACTGGACGTGGACGAGGCGGGCGCAGAGGACGCAGTGTGTGGGCGGAGGGAAACTCCAAAGAACGATGGTTCGCAAATGTTTGCAATGTCATGCAATGTCTCATGTTACACTGAAAGGTGACATCGTGGCAATTGGATGAGAAAACAATCAAAGAAATATGTGCTGGAAATCATCTTCAGGGGACCCAAACCTGGCCTTCTCCAGCCCCTCAAACCCCAAAACCACGTTGTCGCGCTCACCGCTGCCGGCACTTCTCCTTCCGTTCGGGTTCCGTGCTCCGCTTCAAGGCCGAGCGTGTGATGTCGCGCGTGCTGTGTTTGCCCACGGCCTTCGTGGGGCCTTTGCAACACGAGGGTGGCCTCGTGGAGGTCATGGCGGATGCTGGGCGTCCGACGGGGTCCGATGACCGTGGGGTCCCGTTTCGGTTCGTCCGATCGCTCCGTTCGGTTCGCGAATGCCAGGAGCCCCGAACGTAGCGAACCTTGTTCCTAGTAGTAAGGCCAGGAGCCCCGTTCGTAACATCCGATCGCTCCGTTCGTCAGTGCCGGTTCTTTTCCTTCCAAAACGCATGTTTATGCATGTTCCAATACAAGAATTATCAAGAATTTTGGGGGCCACACATGTCGCATGATCGAATCGAGTTCCAGTTCGCACTTTGGGGGTCTGTATGTGAGCTTATGTGTTCACATCATCTTGAGTGTGAATTTCCAATGGCCAGTATCATTACTATGACTCTGACCCAAATTCGTTCAGCTGAGGGCAAACGGCAGCAGATTGGCAAAGCACATCAGTTGTGTACAACCCTTGCGTTGCCTTGTTTTGTTGTGTTCGATTGAGGATTGCATGGTGAACATCAGCGTGCAGCCCGTAGACATGAAGCCCAAGGACTCACTGGTGCCATTGAATCCATTGTACTGTAGATGCATCCAACTCACCCAAAGTAGCTTTCAGGCTTTCAGGGAGCAGATCCTACCAGATCAGCTAATCATACCATACTATGCACGCACATCGTTGGTCAGCCATAATATTGAAGAACTTCTACATGTCCTAAAGCCTTTATAAGGCTCGCCTGAAGGAAAGGAAGGAGTCACGAAACGCATGAATATAATCTGAATGCCTGTATAGATAGAATATGTATATTGGATTGAAACTGTGTTAGATGTCACCTTTTTTAGCCGTTTGAGGCTTTCAATGATGCAGGACACTGAGATCAAGATCTCCGGTACGGAGCACGCTGTTGGGAGGGCTGTCTCGCAAATCGAGCTGCATTTTGAACCCTTTGCTGAGGCAAGAGATCTTCAACCAGGGTGCTGGAAGTCAGTCTTTTGGTGTGAGCTCAATGGAGAGCTACTACTTGGCTTTGGCCGTTTATGAACAGATGTTCAGTCTCAAGTAGTAGCGCCAAAGAGTTTGTCCAGAAGAGCCAAGCCAAAGATTTGAGCTTCAGAAGGGTATTTGTTGTTTCAACTGGGATGTCAGCATCCCAAACATGAAGGTAGTCCATGTACGTATATCCACAAGTCATTTGTCCAGGTGCTGCCATTCGCGTGCATCTCCTGGCATCTCCACATTCTTCGTCGTTTTGATGAGGGAATGTTGGGCCCTTTGCTAGTCAAGAAAATGTCCTCCACCAGTTGAAGGAAGATGGCCCGCTGCTGTTTCGTGAAGGAACAACTGCGTGTTTTGCTCATGGACCTTTCAGTGGACCTCTGAATACTCAGGCCCTACAGGTCAAAGACCTCATTTTACTGGAGTTGGTGATATAAAAACACTAGGCAATGAGGTAAAGGAGCTGGTTTTCCTGGAGAAAATGCCCCCATCCTCCAGGCCGAAAGGAAAGCAAAGGCTGAGGCTGAGAGCGGTCACATGGAGACTCAGCGGCACAAGTGCGGCAGAAAAAGCGAGGGCTACTCTCCCGCAAACCAACATGGAACCTGAGAATTGACCAGTGGAAGACAATTGTCCTCTACAACCCAGTGGTTTTAGGGGTCCATGTGGTCCTCTGCAGGGCAATAAGGAACATTGACTTTCTTGCTGGTCATATGTTAACTCCATCAGTGTTTCCTGTACGTTATTGATAGTCCATAAGAAGTCCGTGAGCAAGAACCGTAGAATTGATTGATGATGGTAGAAACCCACCCACTATAATACCCTCGAATGATTACAAAACAGGTTGCTGGTGGCACACATGAGGATTAGGCAAAATCAGGCCAAATCATGTGTCATAGATGTTGTCCAGAGCTCATTTGTTGGTTCGGATGATGAAAACGAGTGAACCACCTTTGGACCACCCGAATTGGATCCCTTCTTTGCCACCACCTCCAGGAAGAGGTGTCCATTCCGGAGCCACTCCTGTGTGCTGCGCTCGGACCCAACGGCCGAGATCTGCCCAAGGCCGGCGCGATGCGTCAGATCGAGGTTTGGGAGGAAAACAGCAAAAGGAGCCTGATAGCAATGGCCTCCAACCTAGTAGCAATGGCTTCCAACCTAAGAGCGATGGCCTCCAGCTTTTTTTGCATTCGTACCCAACATAAGGTGGTTTTGACTTGGAGTTCCAGGAACGTCCAGGAACCACTCACTGGAACATCACGGGAACGCGTGCCACCAGTCCACCAATGAGGGCTTAAGTGGCACTCCTGGGCGGAGAGGAGACCGTTCACGGACGGCCTAGGACCTAGGAAAGGTCAATGAAAGCAAGCCAGCAGGTGGCTGTTGAACAGAGAAATTCGAGGAAAAGCGGACATGGTGGTTGATCCAAGTTCCTTCTTACGGAAACGCCGTGAACTCCATTCTTCGCGAAACAGATCTTTACTTTCGCGAATCTTTGACGAACCCATGTGTAACTTTTGCCGGCCAGTATATATGCTAGAATTCTTCTTGGCTTGGTTGGTTCCACATACCAATCTTCGCAGATCTTTCGTGAAAAAGATACGTTCGCGAACTCGAAAAAAGCTTTCGCAAGAAACATAAGAGGCTCTCAATGAACCTAGGCCTTATGTCGACCTTTTGATCAACCCAACTAAACTACAGTATACAAACCCCAGTGGTTGGAGGATTTGCTGTTTGCAAATTCCCAATCTACACCTCCATGTCGTGACTTTTGAGGGACCGGCCCAAAAGCAGGGATCGTGGGATTTGTTCCACGTCCAGCCAAGGCATCAACTCTCCAAATTGTTCAATTAAAGTTGGAGAGCTGGTCCCTCTTGCCATACAAGCCATTGAGACTATCCTCCAGAAATAACTTCACTGTTCACCTGTGACATCCGATTTGGGATGGTTGACTTCGTCCATGACCAAATCGGGATCTGTATCAAAAAAAGTCGAGCATTGGTATAGACATGTTCTTGCTTCAGACCAAACCCAACACGGTAACACGGTACTACACCACTGCCACCGCGGGCCGGGCACGGTACCGCACCCCCGGCGGCTCCGTCCACCAGGTGCGGGAGCCGTGCGGTAACGTGATGATCGCCCTGATGCCGCCGAAGAGTGGGGAACTCTTGGCCCTCATTGGACCCGGGACTCAAGAGCAGGCGGGGACCGGGACATCTGGACCTCCCAAGAACTGGGACGAGTCAGAGGAGTCACGAGTCAGACTGGGCCAAGTCCTGGGGAGGGGTGATAGGAAGACTGGGGAAAGAGTCTGGCATCATACGGGGGTTGACATCCCAAGACCACTAGAGTCACTAGATGGAGATGATGGGACGTTCCACCCATTTCAACGGCTGAAAACTGGCCGGACGGTGCCAGCAAGGAGAGATGATGCACGTTTGCAACATGTTACAAACTGTGTTCCAGGGTGATTCTTCAGGGTTCCAAGGAGAGTCTCACCATGGAGTAGATGTTACATGTTTGAAGGAGCTCTACAAGACTTGTTCCCTGCTTCAACAGCCTGATGTCCCAGGTGCAGTCTGCCAAAAAGGAGCTGTTGCGCCGAATTGCTGTTGCAGAGAAGGTGGGGGGAGCCTTGCGCATTGGTCGATGTCGGCCAAGGGAAAGCCTTGCATGACTCGCTGCAAGAGTGTACAGAAGCCTCTTCTCCCTTCTATTCCCTTCTCCAGTGCCTCGTAATGGATGGAAAAGGTCCAAGTTGCCTTGTCAACAGGCAAAATCAGAGGCTACAAATCCATCAAGGCGGGTGAGTGTTTGAGTCGCCCATTGTGTGTCAAGCTGGGTTTCCTGATGTGCACTGAGATAGACTTGTTTATTGTTATGATCTATTATGTTTTATGGCGAGTTCCTGTCGCTTCAAAGAGCAAGATCATTTGACAATTTGCTGGCCAAGCAGCAGGCTGGAGAGGTTCTGATCAAGTAGATACCCCCTGAAGAAGTTTGCGTCAAAGTTCACGATGACCTGAAGAAACTCACATAGCCAGGGATGTGTGGTTTTACATGGTGTTGTGGTACATATTTTGTTGGTGCTTTGTTTTTGTCCTTGTTGGTTGAGCAATGCTTTCCCAGCCCTGGAAGTTGAATAATTTTGAAATAAAACCCTTGACCTTACACCGTTCATCACTATCGGATCCTCTTGGCAAAAGTTCAGCCACATTAAAATCGGTTGCTGAGATGCGCAGTGTATACTTGCATGACACCTACATCCATGTTGGCAGAATTTTGTACATGACAATATTGCATCATGATGCTGAAGTTCTGGTGCACATTGATCCTTCGGGGGGGGGCAGGGCGTGCAATCATTGCAAATACTGGAACGACAGATGCGTTTTTCTCGTTGTTCCTTTATGCCGTCGATTCATGTTCTTCCAGACCTTGATTTTTGATTAATAATGTTGTTCCGACCATTCTAGAATTCATTCCAGAGGTTTGGATATGTTTGGAGTTCTACCGGAAAAAACAAACAACTTTTTGACCAGTATTTCTGAGTGAATGCCACGGGGTCTAGGATGCTCTGGAGTCGCAAGTTGCGTTGGATGTTTTTTTCAGCGAAACCATTCCAGACCCACATGTTTTAGGATCTAGATACCATGTAGGGAGTAGAACTACAGTAGTACTATGTTTGCAGTACTGTTTGCGGTCCGCAGTTGGCTGGTCTGGTCTTCAGAGAAGCCGTTCCCTCTCTCTCTGGGTCCGGTCACGGAGATGAAAACCAGGTCAAAACCGCCCGTTTCACCCTCTGAGGTTGACTTTGATAGGCCATTCAGCCACATGTGTCGCACCACCAAATGAGCCAACGGTCAACCAGTTTGGCGATGCGCCAACGGTCAACCCTTCCGTGCCCATGCAAGCAGGCAGCTGTCAGATGAGTTCACCGCGCTCATGGCAGATGTGGGACAGTGACAAAAACGGCGTGCAGGGCCGCGCACAGCGCGTGGAGGGCATGGGGCGACATGACCTGGAGGTGAGAGGCAGATTTCATTGGGATGTTTTCTGAGTTTTACAAGCAGGTGTGCCTGGACAGGTGTTCCCCTGAAGCCTAAAGGTACAGCCTCAATGTCATTTTGAGGAGCGACACATCGTGACATATCTAATCTCCGAGATTCAGATGTCCTTTAGATGTGTCGCATGGGATGGGCAAGGCCTTGGGAGTTGTCAGTGACTATTCTGTAAATTGTTGTGACCGTGTGTTTTAGTCTAATTACTTGTTTTGAGCCGACGCATGCCGACACATTGATCGACCCCACGTGAGAGCTCAAAACCGATACGAGATGAAGGATGAAGGGGTGATGAGGAAAAGATAGGAACAGAATCTTTCCGATCCATCCAGTGTGCCATGTGGTTTCACGCCGAGTCCACCGTGGTTTCACGTCGACTTCAGCGTTTCTCCACGTCGAACCGCTTTGGGGAACTGCCCAGCGCACCCTCAAGTCTCGTGCCCTGGACGCAACAGTGGGAGAAGGCGGGCAACGTTGGGATCCCCAACCTACTAGTGATGGCCTCCAAATGTTTGTAAAGTAGCAGGAGATAGCAGGAGCGCACAAAGATGTCCAAGATTGAAGAGGATTTGCGGTCCTACAGGTATGGACAGGCTCTCTACAGCAACGGGACATTCAAGTATATTCAAGTGCATTTGGCAATTCCAGTGAAGAGATGTTCTGCATGCAGCAGCTCCAAATATCTCCAAATCAGGTTGTTTGCTGGAAAGTTAAAAAAAATATATATATATATATTAATATATGTTCAAGGAGGAACAAGTTTTCGAGCCGGGAGCACCAATGAAACGATGTTTCCCCGCTCGCAACACATTTGCAGTGCTTGCAGCATATTTGTGTACAGTACATAGCAGATGATAGATGCACCAGCATGTCCTCTCAGGCTTCTGGCCGGTCAGCATGCAACTGGATGATGTCATGGAAGAAGGATTGGCGACGTCGATGTCGAAATGAAAGATCGAATGTGATCGAATGTGTCATTCCACGGTCCACATGCTCCCCCAAATCAGGATCTCATTGATTCAAGGATGTTTAAACATGTTTAAACTATATAAGAGATCCCGTTGTTTCGAGGGAGCTTGGAATACAAAGACCCGTTGATATCTTTGATTCAGGAAAGTGCAAAAGCCAATGAAAAGCAGCCACCGTGGTCGTTTCGGTGGTCACCGAGGTCGAGGGCCGTTCGTGTGATAACACCTGCCACAGACTGAATCCAATAGGAACTCCTGGTAGGATTGTCAGGTTGAACAGATTCCTGGCCAACTATTGTGTTATATAATGGTCTGAATCCCAAACAAGCAGCAAGCATTGTTTTACAAAACCAGGTCAATCTTTCTGGAAATTGAAGGTGAGGGCAGTGAGGGCTGGGGCAAATCTTCATCATGTTGCTAAGCGTTGATCCACTGTGTCAATTGATCACGTCCATCACCGCATCGGTTGAAGCCTCACCTGCGTCCATCACGGTCTCCACGACTCCACGGCCCTTCTCCGGAGGCAGCCTGAAGTCGGCTGGATCTCTTTCTCCAGGATCTCGAAACTCCAGAAGTGCGCTATCTTCCACTCCTAAGGTGCGGCGGCAGGAGCAAAAAACCGATGGGTTTTTGCATGGTAGCATCTGGTAGCTGAAGGGAGTGAATGAAAGACCTGTTTTTCTCGATTCCATGAAAACGTCGCACGGGAGGCCAAGAAGAAGAAGAAGCGATCAAGTACCTTGGATTGACCACCCGATGGCATGTCTTGGAGAGAAGAACCGAAGGTTTTGAATTGCCTACATTGGTGCCATTAAATAGAGCATGTTCTTTTTTTTGAATTCTGTTCAGAGGAAGGTGTGAATTGTGCTTGGAAAAGCTTCTATAGATGTATATAGATTGGGTGCCTTTTTCGAGAGTAGAATCAAAGATGCTTGCCCAGTTGGACGCAACTGTGCATATGTTCCATCATTCCCATCGTTCCACAAGTGGAGCGAGTCACTTTTTCCATGCAACAATCTCACATAGATAGAAGCGATGGATTCGCCTTGGGATATACATGGATATACGCAATAGATCACATGAATTTGCCTTTCTATTTGGGGATCTCTTTCAGAATTGATTGCCATATCTGATAGTTGCCATATCCGGGAAATGGAGGGATGGAATGACTCCACACCATTGAGATCCTTTCGGATCCAAGGAGATCGTTCCTATTCCGATCCCGACGCCTCCGGCGAGTCCGAGGACGGACGATGGACGGAGCTCACCCCCCCAGGGACCTGAAACCAATAGGAAACCGGTGACGTTAACACCCCCGACATGGAAGGGAGTTGCGACGTGAGTGACCGTTACCGACGTCTTTTTTCACTCGGGGGCGACTTGGGGCGTTCTGCGAGAGAGGTCCATCCAAGTGAACCCTGGTCCCTCGTCCGCCCAGCCGCGTTGGATTCCAACCACTCCAATGATTGAGTTGATCGCTTGGAATCCCAGCGAAACCCACCGACCGAACGGGCACTCCTCCCCCGAACGGGCTCGAGGATCGCATCGCGGAGGATCCCACGGGAACCGAAGCAGCGCACGGTACCGAAGGTCGTGAGAACCAAAAAAAACCGTTGAGGAAAGATGCGTAAAGTAAAATTGGTATGCCAACACAAAGAAAAGATAAGAAAAACACATATCCTCTCACCCACGAAAATGACTCAAAACTGGAACAACATGGTAACTATTTGGACTCGGGCTGAGGGTGGCATCAAATCTCAAATCCAGCCGCAAAAAGAGGATAACTCGGTTCATAAAACTACGTATGTTCAGCTGGGTTACACTCACTCCAACGAGCACGGTGTCCAGGGTTGCAGGGGAAAATAGCCTTGCAAGAGGCTACTGTCCATTTCCCTTGCTAAGGAGTCATCCTAAGAGGACAGTAGCATATAGGATGTCATTTCAATGATAGGATGTTATATGAGTCATCCTAAGAGGCTTCGACCCGGGTCGCTCCGCCAAAGAACGACGACGCGTGACCGGACCACTCGGTGGTGCGGAACCGGGCGTTGCATGGGGGAAGAGAAGACGTGACGTGTCTCATGGTGTTCAGATGTTTTCAGAGCGTGCGACGTTACGTCGAAAAAAAGGGGGAGGGCTCTCAACATCGAACTTGCCGTCGAACTGCCTATATAACCATTAATGTTTGGATGTTTTGAAGCTGCGAGGCGTTTCCGCAGCTGTTGGCTGTTGACTTGTTGTTATGGGTACGAACCCGAATGATCTCAGTTGATTCGCATATGAATTGCTTCCTGCCGATGTGGATGTTCACTTTGGATGCCCGGTCATCCCGGGTCGCGCACCTGTTTGCAAGGATCAGCTGTCCAGGAGCGGTTCAAGTGCCAGCTCCTTCACTAGCAAAGAGTACATTCTGTTGCATCCACCGGGTGGCAAGAGTAGGGGTGCGTCCCCGGTCATCCGGTCATCCAAAAAGTCAATTTATTATAAACGATTATAATAAAATATAGATTTCCATATATAGTCAGGTTGGCTCCAGCTTACTAGCTGTTGGATGAGTCTGGATGAGTGTGTACAAGTTCCAACACTTTGCGCACTGTGCAAAGGCATGTCGACCCAATACCATCGCCAAGGCCTTGGAAGTATTGCCATCAGTCCAGATGTGGCTGGCAGAAGGAGTCACTTGGTATCGGCAGAACTGGCGGAACGGCAGAACAGCGTGTGTGATTTTTTCCTTTTCGGAGGGGCCTTCGATCAGTGTGTGTTTTGGAATCGTTCATATCAAAACAATGCTTCGTTAGGCATTTCAAAAACTATCCCAAAAAGAAACAACTGGTGTGTTTGAGAACAGGGGGACAGTCTCTCGATGCAACCCCCAAAAAGATCCAAACCCCCAAAACCATCCCGAACATCGATATATATATATATACACAGTACTAACTGCACCCTCACCAGTCCAAGCCCCAAAACAATCTGAAACTGACTGAGCAAACGGCCGGCGCAGGGTCCCCACCGTTCGCTTGCCTTTTCAGAAAAGGTCACAGCCGGGCCGAGCCGGCCGGGCCGGGCCGGCGGCCTCCCAGCCCCGCCTCAGGATCGCAGGTGAATCCCGCCTTGGGCGACTTTATCAAAGCTGGGACCAAGCCGATCGTGTCCTCCTTGTCAGAACATCAATCCAGGGGATGGATCATGGCGAGGACTCTGGAGGGGGAGGAGGTGTTCTGTTGGATTCCGGCGACCCGGAATCGTGTTTTGTACATGAATTCGTAACGAGCTTTGAAGAGTAACTAATAGCTTCTTGTTACTACTAGTAAGGCACCTGTTACTACTAGCGTGGCACTTGTTACTAATAGCGTTGAGACGAGTGTTTCGGGTGTTCGATGTTGCAAGTATCGCGTGCCATCCCATGACATTCGACAGATGCCACGAGGGAGAGATGGACTTGAATGGATGCAATCTGTTTTTGAAAGGCCACAGATGGCAGTGTGCCATGTGGGGCCTCAAAGCTTCTTCGGCCAAACAAGCTGTTTGCATCCATTTAAGTCCGGTTCTTTGGATGAACTGCACTCTTTTGTTTTTTTCATGTCCAAAGGGAGAACCACCTGGAGAATCCTTTCAATTAATTCCTTATGGATCCTTATGGAGTGACTTTTGCAGGTAGATATTCTAGATATTCTTGGTGTCATCGCAATTTGACACAGCTTCATTCAAAGTTCTGATGAGAAGCCAGTTCCCAGGGAAAACGATGTGTGATGTTTTGGCTGATTGGCGATCGCCCCTTCTCAACCACCCCCGGCCTTTGATCGTCAACCTTCGATTGAACGACTGTCATCGCGACGGCAGGATTTGTGCCGTGGCGCACTCTTTGATAAACGACAATTATTTGGCCAATGTGACTGCAATTGTTGTCTTGCTACGCGGTCGCAGTCATATTGTTTATACAAAAGCTCATGGCTTTGCTTTGGTCACAACAACGCGGCCTGCGGCCTGAGGTT